AAAAAGTTCGATTTTGGTTTCCTCTGACCAGAGCACCTTCTTCCACATGTTTGGGGTGTCTCCCAGGTGGCTTGTGGCAAACTTTAGACGAGACTTTTTATGGATATCTTTGAGAAATGGCTTTCTTCTTGCCACTCTTCCATAAAGGCCAGATTTGTGCAGTGTAAGACTGATTGTTGTCCTATGGACAGACTCTCCCACCTCAGCTGTAGTTCTCTGCAGTTCATCCAGAGTGATCATGGGCCTCTTGGCTGCATCTCTGATCAGTCTTCTCCTTGTCTGAGCTGAAAGTTTAGAGGGACGGCCAGGTCTTGGTAGATTTGCAGTGGTCTGATACTCCTTCCATTTCAAGATGATCGCTTGCACAGTGCTCCTTGGGATGTTTGAAGCTTGGGAAATCTTTTTGTATCCAAATCCGGCTTTAAACTTCTCCACAACAGTATTACGGACCTGCCTGGTGTGTTCCTTGGTCTTCATGATGCTCTCTGCGCTTTCAACAGAACCTTGAGACTATCACAGAGCAGGTGCATTTATACAGAGACTTGATTACACACAGGTGGATTCTATTTATCACCATCAGTCATTTAGGACAACATTGGATCATTCAGAGATCCTCGCTGAACTTCTGGAGTGAGTTTGCTGCACTGAAAGTAAAGGGGCCGAATAATTTTGCACGCCCCACTTTTCATTTTTTTATTAGTTAAAAAAGTTTCAAAAATCCAATAGATTTCGTTCCACTTCACAATTGTGTCCCACTTGTTGGTGATTCTTCACATAAAATAAAAAAATTATATCTTTATGTTTGAAGCCTGAAATGTGGCAAAAGGTTGAAAAGTTCAAGGGGGCCGAATACTTTCGCAAGGCACTGTATATGGAAGGATACAATATAACAGTATAGACCAATACCTCCTTTTAGAAATATGCAAGATGCATGATAGGTAAATACTCTCAGGATATATTGTATATCGATCTTTGGCAGATGTGGAATGACTTAAAAAGTGAAAATCTATGTTGGCCTTTATGATTGTGCTACATACTGTACAAGTAACCAGGGCTTTGGCACATGCAATAGTTCTACAGTTGCCTGTCCCATACATTTTCTAAATGGGTCTTCTATCTTTCTTCAGGGTTTAAATGGAGGTTATTTAACTTTTTTTGGCTTTCTAATAATAAACAGTTGTTGAATCTTGATTTAACATAGGCTACCTTTTTTCTTTTGGAATGAAGTGTTCAATTCTGTCCAGGCTGTTAAGATGTACAGTAGTTCAATATTCACTAGTAACATAACTGTTCCTTTCACTAAAATAAAACTCCACTAGTTCTATAAAAGGACCAATTGTGTGGGTGAGTGTACAGAGGCACACAAACACACACTCCTTCAGAGTAGCAATAAAACCCACACACCCTGCCCATGAGTTTGGGTTTACTACAGTGAGGCTGTTCTTTCTGTACAAGGAGAGCTATACATCTCTAAGTTATTTTTTCAGGGTCTTAATATATTCGCAGAACAGTTTTAACACTGTTCTCTTCAATGGCAGAAAAATGAGTCTGACACATGAACAGTTGACACTCCTTTAGGTAGATGTGTTGTGTACTGTAGATATATATTTTTTGCTTTCTGCATATTTCTTTCTTCACATCAGCATCTATATAAATACAGATTCAAAGATAAAAAACAACAGATAAAAACTGTAAACTATCTGTAAAGAGTTCAACTGCACTTATGTTACATAACAAGTAAAATCTAAGTAAACATAATGGAAACATATTGTAGATACAGCATAAATTGCAGTATTGACAAATGACTGGAACATACATTGATATGCATTTGGAAATGCATTGAAGTACATTTCAAAATCTAGGAAAAACGTTTAGAATATAGTCATGAGTTTAAATTCATTTCAGGCAGGGAAATATAAGAAATGATGTCTGAAGGGTCTTGCAATTTAAAGTAAGAATACTTTCATAATGTTTAAAATGCAATGCCTTTAAAACTAGTAACTATAATTCCTTTTTTTGGGAATGAAGCTACAATCTCATTGTAGGTTTCTAGAGTTTTGTATATTACAGGTGACAGATTTCAAAACTAGTTATTTTAAGATGTTAAAGGTCAAAACAGTAAACATATAACCTAACTGGGAGGTATGTTTTTTATGGACCATCTGGCATTTACTAACAAACGACTACCCCAGTGTTACAGAAATGTACACGAAAGAACCTTGGACCCACTACCGTTCATACAGTATGTTTGAATTTTTGTGTGTTTATGTTGCAGGGAACTTCAGCTTGTTAACATGATGAGGCAAGGAGTTGTTTGACTCTTCATGTTAAGATGAATAGATTATGATTCTTGGTGGAAAAGATAGGGATAGATAAACTAGATGGTTTACTAATATGTTAAACTGTTGTAAATATTATAGAGTGATGAACCTGACTGTTTTTAACTATTTACAATTGTACTTCAATGGATATATAGAAAAGCAATTGAAATACAAAATATATCCTGCAATTAGATTGGTCACTGATATTCCATCAACAGTAGAATGTTTAGAACCACTTTACATAAAATACAAATTGTATTAATATCTCTTCTTCATATAAACTTCTAGAAATGTTCCCTTGTAAACCTACATCACAATTCATTTAATATGTGGATTGCTGTTTGGTTTTTAGAGTTCACTTGCAGAGGGATTAATGCACTAAATAAAAAATAGATTTCTGTTTTTCACTTCTTCACCTCAGCATTCTCTTAGAAAGAAGTCTCCTTCTGCTTTTGCCAAAAGAAGATTCTATTTAACATATGACATTCACTTTTCCAAAATTCACTCTTAATAGTTATGAAACAATTGATTCAAGGTGGCTCTTACAGTAAGTCAACTCTGGTTTGATGTCCAGATTAGATACTGTAGTGCAGACATAATTTACAATACCTGAGGCTGGGTTATATTGTTAAGCAATCATGACTGGGATTCCCCAAGGAAAGTCTCACATTTGACTGTTGCATGAAGTTGCATGAATTTCAGTCAGCCAGCATTATTTTCATAATGGAGATTCATCTGTTCTGTTCTTCAAGTGCCTGCGAACATGAAGTTATATTATTGTGGTCTTTTGTCATACTGAAGCACTAACCTTTTTTAATTGTTGTTGAGGCCTTACATTGTGAGAAAAGCATAAGACTCAACAAGTCCACATTTAAAAGGATTCATTCACATAGATTATTTTTCTCACCTGTGCTACAAATGCTGTGTAGGTGATCCTATTTGAGTGCAGGAGAAAGAACTGTGTACTGTACATAAAGCATCTTTTTCCATTGCCGATATTCAGATATTTAAACAGTGCACATCAATATCTGTAACAATACTGCAAAAAGCCTGAACATATATTTCTGCTCCATAAGATGCTGTATATAATTAAATTATATATTTACTAATTCATTTTTTCAGATTTTTCCAGAATATTTTAATTAGAGCATATTTTAAACGTCATACACAAATTCATCATTGAAATTGTACCAACAACAACTTCTATTGGTAAAATAATTAGGACAATAATTTTGTGCTGACCAACAAAAATGTTTTGTTACAAGTAACAGGATGTTCCTGTTCAAGCTAACAAGGACAATAACTGTAACCTTGGTCATATCATTTACCAAACCACTTTATACCATACAGTGTCATGGGGACCTGGAGCCTACCCGGCAAGCAACTAGCGCAAGGCAGGGTACACCCTGGATGGGGTGCCAGATCAATGCAGGGCAAGAGCAAGCCAATCATACATGGGGACAATATGGAGGTCACGGTAAAGGCTGGGGAGGGAAATTTGGCCCAAACACCAGGATAACTCCCTACTCTTAGCGAGAAATGCCCGGAGATCTTTGATGACCGCTGAGAGTCAGAACCTCAGTTTAATGTCTCATCCAAAAGATGGAGCACACTACAGTATATTGTCCGCACCACTATACTGGGGCATTAGGACCCACACATACTGCAGGGTGGGCACCCCCCGCTGGTCCCAGTAACACCTCTTCCTGCAGCAACCATAGCTTCCCAGGAGTTCTCCAATCCAGGCACTGACCAGGTTCAACCCTGCTTAGCTTCTGTGGGTAACCAGTTGAGAGCTGCAGGGTGATATGGCTGCTGTGTATCCTTGGTAATGTATGCCAATAGGAAAAGAGGAGCTACCCACATACCCTGTCAGTACAAACAGTAGATAAAAACATAGATGACAAACAGAAAAAACATAGATGTCAACTTGAAAACCAAAGGAAATAAATCATTTTGATGATTATAGCTGTTGGAGTACTATATTTGTTGGGTACCCATTTCAGAGTGCATAGAGCTAAAGTGGTTCAGACACTAATGGCACTCACTTGAATCAGCACTATATCAGAAGTCAAGAAACAAATCTCCCAGGTAAAAGAGGCTCTTCAGGAGTGCAGCAAGCAACTATAGATTGTGCAGGAATCTGTGGAGCAAACTGGGGCTGGGGCTGGCCCAGTGGCAGGGTTGCTTGATGAGGTAAGAAAGGAGCCACACTGACCTCCAAGAGTTCCTATGGGCTCAGCACTCTGGCACCAAGCTGGCAGTGAATATGCCATGGTGCCCTGTGAGAGCTTCACCCTGCTGAAAGTCTACCAATTAAACTCACATGGTACCAAGAGGAGAAGGCAAGGATAGGCAGAATTAACTGACTGAGACACTGAAGAAAGAACAGGAGACCCTCAACTCCCCTTGGGTTGAATTTACAATGTTGTTATGTGTATGCACCCTCTGATTTTAGATGTTCTCTTGGAGCACAAGTTGAGCTTTATGATCCATATGTTGCTATCTTGGGTCATTTCAACAGATGACTATGGACAGGATTCCCTAAATGGTGGCATATAATTGCATGATGGTATTGTAATACTTTACACCTTTCTTTATACATAGAACTCTCCTAAACACTCCAAAATATACATTGCTGAACAGATCTTAATGTACCTCTCTCTCATTTCTCCCCAGCGACCGAAGACTGAACAACTGATCTACAAGTCATGTTCTAACACAGGAGCTGAACTCCCTATCATCACAGTTTGAAAAGCCTACATTTGTTAAACCTCTGCTGCCAAACAAAGGTGGATTACACTGGATTCATATTTTGGGGCCTGCTAGTTAACACTCAGATAAAAAAACAGGTGTTAAAGAGCTGGTCAACCATCTAGACAAGCCCCCAGACACTGGAAATTCATTTTAATTGTGCACGTTACAGTATATTATAGAATTTCTTTTCTTTCAATGGATGTATTTAATAGAGCAATTCTACTATAATCAATCGGACATTCTTGCAACATGTGTAACTGTCAAACTGAAAAATATTTTGACCATTATCAGATGAACCCAATGTTTAACCACATATGTACTGTAACAGGAAAAAGAACAAATATAAAGCAAAAGCTTTCAGCATTTTTTATTCAAACTGGAAAGGCTGTATGAGGATTCGGTTGTGATGTAGAGTTTTATTTCATTCAGTTGTACTAATTGACAGATGACAGAATCTAAAAAATGAACATCCACATACAAACATACTGTTTGTGGCAGATTATGTCAGATGCATGTTGTGCAAACAGTAACAATCAATTTCTTCATTACATCTTTTTCTAATGCTACATGCTTCTTATAATAAAATATATATTGATTAAATTTACATATGGGACTTTTCAGACAGAATGCAAAACAGTTTCAAGAAAACAAAATGACTTGATGTCTGACTAGATTGTTAAGAGACTAAAAACTGAAGAGATTCTTCATTGGAGTTGATGCTGATGGGTCCTTTGGGATATGTGTGGAACTATTTGATCTTAAAGACAGAATATTTGCTCCAGCATGTGCCCCTGACCTGCCAAGAGAATTAATTCAGTACATACCTGTATTTCAGATGCATTAAAGACACAGCAACATTTGACAGTCCTCTCTGATAGTGGAGCAAACAAAGTAAGCTTGAGTGTGTTGCTTGAAAAGCTGTGGTATGCATAGTGCCACTATGTACCTAAAATTGAATTAATTAAGACAGACAGTGTGTAAAGTATTGAATGTAAATTGACAAAACCAACAGGTAGCTGATGTAATTGTACTTCACTGTTAGCACCAAGGAAGATTAAAGAGATTCAAGCATTCAACTGGATCCAGGATAAACTGGTATTTTGAGCAGCAGCTTCACAGAGTTCCAGACATCTGATGTAGCCTCTGGAAGTATGATGCTGCGGAGGGGGCTGCTGGCCTGGGTTTCTCGAGTGGTGCTCCTTCTAGTGCTCCTGTGCTGTTGCTTCTCCCTCATCTATGTGTTGGCTTGCAGCCCACGCGCAGATGAGAACCAGGTCACCCTGTCCAGGGCAAATGGACCCACGGGCAATGAAGGTTACCAGGCTCTGCTGCAGGAGAGGGAAGAGCAGCACCGGCACTACATCAGCAGTCTGAAGAAACAAATCTCCCAGTTAAAAGAGGCTCTTCAGGAGCGTAGCGAGCAACTGAAGAATGTGCAGGGATCTTTGGAGCGAGCTGGGGCTGGCCCAGTGGCAGGGCTGCTTGATGGCATGGGAGAAAGGAGCCACACTGACCTCCAAGAGTTCCTAAGGACCCAGCTGAATCGAGCAGAGGTGCACTCTGGCACCAAGCTTGCCAGTGAATATGCCATGGTGCCCTTTGAGAGCTTCACCCTGCAGAAAGTCTACCAGCTAGAGACTGGACTCACACGGCACCCAGAGGAGAAGCCGATACGCAAGGACAAGCGGGACGAACTGACTGAGACCCTGGAGAAAGCACTGGAGGCCCTCAACACTCCTGAGGATGAAGACAAAACACAACGCCGGCATGTGTATACAACCTCTGATTTCACTGAAGGTAAGTGAATGGAATTTTCACTTTTACTCTTATTTTTATTCTGTAAGAGTTTGTGTGTCATTTAACAGAAAATACCCAATGGCCATAACAATGCAATACAATTTACCAGGTTTTGAACTATATATTTAAGACATATGGGCAGCATGTTAGTGCATTGGTTAGCGTTGCTGCCTCACAGTGCTGGGGCCTGGGTTCAATGGTGGACTCTCCTTGTTCATGTGGGTTTCCTCCAGGTACTCTGGTTTCTTTCCACAGCCCAAAGAAGTAGTAGTACATTAATTGGTTTCTGGGAAAATTGGCCCTAGATGCAAGTGAGTGCATGTCTGTGTCTGTGTCTGTGTCTGTGTGGACTGGCGTCGTGTCCAGGATGTTACCTGCCTTGCACCCATTGCCCATCAACCCTGAATTGCAAGAAGGGGTTCGAAATGGATGTTTTAGACTCAGATTTGAAGAATAAAGAAATACTGTAGAAAAACATTCAAGGAATTCACAAAGGATACCTTGGCAATGGTTGAGACTTACCTAATTGGAAAATACGCTATATGCAGAATGTAGTGACTATCATGAATAAATATATAATAAATATATTACAGAATAAAAGCAATACACTTTTTACATCCCAGTATTCATTGTTTCTGTATCACTTTTTGATTTGTCAAAGGATCAGTAGTTTTGGAATTGAATTAACTTTAATTTTAATTTTTGTGGCCTTAAAGAAATATTTTGCAAGAAAAAGTGCGGTCTTTCCCAATTTCTTTGGTTCCCATTAGAGTCTGTATAAATCATACACTTAGTACAGAATTAAGATGTACTTTTGTACTTTATGTAACTCTCCATAAGCCTATTAAATATATTTGCATTACTTTTACAGTTATTTTCTTCTGGGTATTTCTTTGTTGTTATTGTAATTTCTTAAGATAAAATGTTTACATGTTAACCGCTTGCTACTTAGTGTGTTCTACAGGAAGTGAGCAAAGGACTTGCTACAATGGGTTTAATGCCAAATAAATGAGATATAGTGTGACACTTCATTTGTTCAGCTTTTCAGTCTTCAGAAGCTGTGTTTCAGGCTGCATAGTATGTCTAATGATATAAATGCAGTAGGAAATCAAATACTAGGAAAATGCAGATCAATACATTTAACTGTTTTGTGTCAATCTTACAATTGCATGGTGATTTTGCATTTTCAGTTTTGAAAGGCTGAAGGTTTGATTGCGTTTCTAAAATAGAAATTAAAGTCTATAGTTTCCAAGGTTAAGTGCCTTGTGAATCCTTCTTGCCCTACTTTTCAAACCGTAATAAAACCTGAAAAACAAGTAATGTATCTTTCCTGGAATATTGATCAGTAGTGAGGTAAGATCAATACCAAACCCATACATTTAGAAGGTTCATTAAACCAGCTAGAGCTAAACATCAAATGGAACTGGATTTAATTGTCATACTTTTGGATTTACAATGGCATTCCAGAAATGTGAATAGTTAATCACTGGATTAACGATCTTGGCTCAAAATCACATCTTCTATTTCAGACTCATTTAAAGATCAGTAATAATGCATGCCTTCTGTTTATTTACATGCAACACACACTTTCTTTTGCTAATAGCTAATAATACTTTATTTTTAGCTAAAGGCTCCAAGCTCTGGGTATTTTTTAATGAATGGAAACAAATTATGGAGAAGATGCTTTAGGTGGTACATGTACAGAAATCTAACTGCTGACCTTCTTTTCCTTCTAGGGGTGGGTATTTAATATTAAATAGTAATAAAACCCATTATTTTTCATGAATCTGGGGCTGTCACTTTCTTTCCTCTTTCCTTACCCAATTCAAAATCATTAATTGATATTTCACCAGACAATCCACTATATTTCTGAACTGATTCATAAAACAAATGGTCACCAAAACCACTGTCTCTTTGCACAGTACAGTCCTATACAGAAACAACAGAACTTAAATGTCAGGTGAATTAAATGCACAACATGAATTAAATAAGTTTACCGTACATGGACCCGGCATTGCTCAAGGAATTTAACAACACATCTGATGACACCCAGCTATAGCTGCAAACATCATAGAGTCTGAATCTGAATTGGTTTTCTCCTGCTCAGAGTGTTTATGCCAGCTGTTAGTCATGTAAGCTACAGTACATATCCTTTGAATAAATTTGTAAAGCATATAAAGAGTTGTCATAATGTATTTCATACCAAATATTAAATTTCCCTACACACATTTCTTTTCAGAAAAACAACTGCAGATAGTTCAGGGCATATTTTAAAACCTAGTTCACAATGATCACATTTTTACAGTACTTCTTGAGTGATCAGATTTTACTTGGGTTTAACCAGCTAGGCCACCAATTTCCCTCTTAATAGACATAAAAAAGTCCATAATTTCACTATGGAATTGAAAGATATCCCCAAATAGAAAAACAATATTAAATAAAATTTCTTAGATATGATCATACATACACCATGCCCCTGGAGGACTTGTCATTCCTCCTCGCATTCCGCACGGATCCCAATTAGCCCTTTTACCCCAGCCTATTTAATGCTGCTTCACACTCTCCCCTCTGCTCAGTATGAGGTTTTCCTGGTAAGAGCTACCTCATCTTCCTGCGATTAGTTACGTCTTGGTTTTTGGCTTCCTTACCCTGGTTTGTTCCCCGACTACGTCTCCTGGTTTTGTTCTGGTACTTTGATTATTGTTCTGGCTTTGACCCTTGGCTTCCGGCTCCGCTTCTGATATTGTACTTTTGCACCGGTTTGTTTTCCTTCGGCTTTTGGAACTCGGACTGTTAAATTGACAATGTCTCTGGAGTTCGGCCTGATTTTTCTGCATAGGGTCCTCATTAATATTCCGTAACAGTACATAACATTGCTTAGGTCAGATTCTTGCTCTGCCTATCTGATGCTGATATATGCCTTTATGTACAGTAATCAAGATTAAACTACAGTACTTATTTAACATACTGTCCTGTATGTTTCTGGAGTATCTTCTAAGGTACTCAATCGGCTTAAATATACTAGAATTCTGCAGCTTGTTTGCTAACTAAAACTAACCTACTTCAACATATACAACAACTCTCATCCTCTAAATTGCACTGATCCCATTGAAATGTAGACTCTGAGGTTCTCTTGCACAGAAAAAATAATCTAGCTCTAGGTTATTTTAAGGATTTATGTCATGAGTATAGCCCAACTCTTAATCTGACAATTGCTGATTCAGGCGTTCTTACTCTTCTAAAGCCCAGGCTCCGCACAATGGGCCACAGAGCCTTTTTGTGTGCAGGACCGTGTCTGTGGAACTCACTGCCCAAATCCATTTGATATTATTTGGCTACTGACATTTTCAAAACTTTTCTCTAAATCTTTTAATGTGAAATTAAGTTTTCGACTCTTGGTTTCACAAAGTTGATATTCTGTACTTTTTGCCACTTTCTTTTTGCTTCAGTTATTGTATTGTATACAGTATGTACTGTTGTATAGTACTTTGAGTTTCTTGAAAAACACCCTTACTGTATATAAAACTGTATTTTTATTTTAAATAAAATAAAAAGATTTAGTTTTAAATAAAACTCCATAGTCTTTATTTTTTAGAATGTATTTTGCACATAAGACCTTTTGTCAAATATGAACAGTCTGTGTGCCAGTGCGTAAAACCAGCAAAATTAGTGTGGTAGTGTATCTTTTTAGTGTTTTTCAGGCTTACATTTGTATACTAAG